CCCTTCGCCGGCCGCCACACGCTCGCCAGACGCCAACGCGTCTCTCTTTCTTTTATTTTTTTTCTCCTTAGCCACGTTTCTTTTTCTTTTTCTTTTTTTTTTTTCTAACGCTTGTCGTCCAACCGTGTGAATTTCTCTATTCGATTATTATAACGTGTATTTCGTCTTTTTATATTTCCTGACTTTTATCGGAAAGTTATTATCGTGTAAAGATACTTAAAATTGGTTTGTTTAATTGAGGAAATTAAAAGATACACGTTAGGATAGGATATTTTATACGCGTACGTTATTTAAATTCGAAGTTAGTAATATTGTGAATAGCGAGACAAGTGAATTATTTTTTGGTTGTTTTATATTTATTCTTTTTCAAAGGTATTTTATTTAGAATATTTTATGCATGGAGTGGAACGATTCTCTCCTCGTTTCCCTTATGGTCGGTAGATTATTTATCATCGTATAAAAAGTTTTCGTAAATTTAACGCGGAAGAAGCATGTCGCCATGAATAATCGCTATTTAAAATTTTACTATCTATTGGAATATGATAAATAAAAGAAAATTGATAGTAAATCTAAAACAAAAAAAAGAAAAAGAGCGGAATAATAAAGGTGAATTTAAAACACTCCTTGAACAATATTTTATATAATTTTTTTCGAAACAACTACATCTCGAAACGATATAATTCGTGGTTACTTTAGTAGTGGTAAAGGTCAGTTTCAAAGTTTTTCTTCGATATCTCGTAAAATTTCCCGTACGATCCACCAATTTTTACCCATTTCGTTCGCATAGAACGATCACGATAAACACTTAAATTCTTTTTAAACGGCATTTAAACTCGCCGATTGACCCGCCGACACTTAACGCGTCCAATTAATTATTCGAACGTGCGTGGACGCGTGGGATGGGCTGAGAGTGACAGAGTCGCCAAGTGACGCGAAAACGATCGAGCGAGTTCGAGCGAAAGGGGGCGAAAAGGCATGCGGTAAGGTTGAACGATATCGGGGCCTCGCCGGGTACTGGAAGAGGAGTTTAAACGAGGCCGACCACGAAGAAAGGCGAACGAAATTACGAGTGGTCGGAGGTGGTGAGGTACGGTGGAAAGGTAGAGTGGCACGTGAATTGGCGCGTAAGTAGAGGAGGTCAACTGGTGGCAGGCAGGTGGAGGATGGAAAGCATAGGCGGAGCCTTCAGTTCCGCCTCCACCTACAATCCCACCTCTTATACCACGCTTCTCTCGCTTTCCTCGACTTTTTTCCAACCTTCTCCCTCCCACTCCTCCCCATTTTTACTCTCTTCCCCACGTTTCCGCTAAAGGTTTTCCACCTTTATCCCTCCCCAACCACTACCAACACTTACCTTATCTTTCGTTCCAATTTCTTTCCTTTTTTCTTTTTCCCTCCCCTCCTCTTTGCGCTTCTCTTTCTTCGTCTCGAAAAGACCACCAAGTTTCGTTCTATCCCACCTCTCTCTCTCTCTCCCTCCTTCTCTCCCCTCCTTCTCACCGCCTCCTCTTTCGATCGACGTAGCCGCTCTTTATAACCACGGTGAAAAGAGTCGATCCATACGCGATCCTTTCGCGAAAGCGCACCTGCAAACCGCACGGCCCCACCTTCCGTTTCCCCTACAGTTCCACCTACTCCACCTACATCGAACATTACCTTCTAACGGGGGGTACAGCCATTTTGCAGTTGGAATTTTTCCTCCTCGAGTCGAGTCAACTCGACCTTGTTGCCGCTTTATTTTGGACCCGTGCCCACAGCAGGAATAAGGGAATTAAAGGAAAACCTCTTTGCCGGCCCGATTCTTCGCATTTAGGATATAATCGTTGGGATATACGACGATCGTTTGCACGCAAGATAACTGGTGCGATATTCGATTTCTTCCATTTCACCGAATATGTTTATACCGAAAAAGATTCTCGAGTCGAGTTTTTAATCGATACGTCGAGATATTTACTTTTTATCCGTCGAAACGAACGTGAATTATTGGTAGGTTATTTAATAGATTGCACGAAAAGAAAGAAAGAAAAAGTTCTTTCCTTGAAATTATTATATATTTCAATCAATTGTATCTTCGCTTGTGATATAAATTATAAACTATTTCAGAATTTATAGAATAAATACAAATATTTATTTCTATATCTGTATCTACTATGCACTCAGTTTTCATTAGACACGATAATACGTAGTATTACAAGGTGTACTGTAATTTCATATGTAACTTAATACATATGTAATTTAATACGAGTTTGAGCAGTTTACTGCATCATTAGAATAGTATAACTATGTATTTACAAATATCGTGGAATAAAATTATATAAACGATTCAAAATATGCGAATTATTATTGAAAAAAAAAAAAAAAAAATAAAGATAAGAATCCTATAATATTTTCTATATTTTAACTGGATGGAAAAGTTCAAAAGTTCACATCGATTCGAATTTCTCTCCTCCTCAGATTTTCACAATCTAATATTTCATGTAACATTTAATCTGTGAAATAAGCAAAATTAACGATACGTACCTGTTTCTCGTTTCAGCTTCCATCACGAACAACACTCTGTTCTCCGCGAATCCTCTTCCTTCCTCGCAAATCTAAAAAGGATCTAAAAAGAACGTGGTTTACACACACGCGTGTAATCAAGCATCCGAGGTCGAGGAAAATTAACTGCGTAATGGTTCTACATTCCATGATCGTTTTATTTTCGATTACAGAACAACGCTCGCAACGGGGAGCCGATTTCTCCTGCTGGTTTTAACTCGATTTCAAGTGTATTTACAACAACTTTCTCGACGTGCACGAGGAGACACGCAGCAAATCTAAAATCTTGATCATTGAGAGATAGAGAGAGAAAGAGGGGAAGATAGAAAGATAGAGGGAGAGATAGAGAGCATGGGTGTGCACGTGTATTCGATCGTTTTGCGCTTTCATTGGTATTCGCGAGTATTCGACGAATAAATCGAGCCTCGATCGATTCGTCTATTTAATATTAAAACAAGAAATATCGTTCAATATGGTATTGTCATTGTTTACATTTTTTTGTCCAATTTTTCGTCACAATCAGGTGTAGAAATTAATTCGTTGCCTTTTACATCATTGATGGCATCGTCATTGGCGGTGATTTATGGATTCGAAAACGTTTGGTAACTCTGGCAAGAGGAATAAAAGGGGAATCGTTCCCACCTGGTCAGACTGTTTATGTAGATTAGATACTTCGCTATCTACGCGAATCATTCGCGAGATTTATGAACTCGAGATGGAGAACAAAGTCGAGAAGTGGACGATCAATTTATCGTGAACAAAATGATTTTTGAAAAAGGCATCCAATTAATTTCTTCACTTAATAATCCGAAAAATGCTTTGAATTCAACGGAAAGTAATTCAATTCAATGGAAAGTAACATTTAATAGTACTCGAGAATAATATTTAGCGCGTGGTTTGATGATCGATGCGATCGTGGAGGAATCGTTTGTGCTAAATTATTCTTTAACCTGGCTTTCGAGAAAAAAAAAATGGCAAAAAGTTTCGAGATTTCGACTGAGTGTGATCGATCCTTCTTCCTTTTTATTTCTCCCTCTTCGCACCTTTTCTCGATGAATTTTTCTCATTAAAATAAATCGTGTTTCATCCGTTTATATATTATATATGTATAAAAAAAAAAAACAAGAAATCCGTGTTATTCGTTTTAATAACTATTAATTAATTTATCCAAACTTCGTATCGTAACTTTGGTCGATTGGATTATACTGGTGTATCGTTTGTGATTTCATTGTAACTCGTAAATAATACGCATTTTATAACAAAAAAAAAAAAAAAAAAAATAAATTTCAAAAACACATTCTACCTCGTATATATTGCTTTAAATTCAATGTGCATCTTAATCTGTACAACGAATTTATATATTTTTTTTTTTTTTTTTTTTACGAATATTCCTCCTATTGATTGGAACCGGTTAAATATATTAGAGAAATTTCATATTTGAGCAAAATTAATATCGTATCAACCCTGTTGAAATGATCGGAAATATTTTATAAATAACGTGAGATCTATTTTTAAACAAGTATCGTTGACGATAAATTGTTTTTTATTACTGGCAAAGTAGAATAAATATATACGTTTCCGTGTATAAAATTAAAAAGACAATGGAAATTAATATTGTCTGTTTTTTTTTTTTTTTTTTTTACACTATATGTGAATTGCAAATATTACGTAAATACTACGTAATATTTATCGTTGGAAAAAAACAAACGTATTGGACGCTCTCCTTCTTCCTGAGTTCAAATTAAAAATATATCAACAATGTAACAAATTACATAGAAGAGTCGGATACGATAATTTCTTTTTTTTTTTTTTTTCCCCACTATTTTCAAATTGATCATTTCATCATTTCACAGAAATCCTACTCTGGAAATAGTTGCGTTTTTTAACAAAGTTGTCGATTATATTTTACACATACATAATATATTCGTCCTTCGTAAATTGAACTCGATGAATCGTAGACACAGATACATTTGTTTGCTCGAAAGAGAAAGATTGAGAAAACGGTGTAGATCCGGCGAAAAGGAGTGATGTGACTTTTAAAGTAGACGTTAGCCATTCGAAATATAACATCTAGAATTTCAGGTACGCGCGAATATAGTCTTCGATTCGAATCAGATCCGACAACGATGCTCGATACTATCGTCGAACATTTTTATCGATGGATGATAATCAATCGGATTTACCGCAGTGGGTTTATCCTATATCCGAGGATGTAATAAGAATATTATTAATCTTTAGCATACCAGAGTGAAGAATTCTTCGTAGATCACGTAAAAGAATGTTTAAACAAAAAAAATTCCAATTCTATTTTTATAATTTTTTTTCGATAAAAATTATCGTTAAATAATTTTTATTCTTTCAAAATTGTTGAAAATATATTTCTAACGAAACGATCTTTGAAGAATCTTACCTTGGTATGCTAAATACCAAATAATATACCAATAAAGAAAGAAGCGAAAAAACGTGAAGAAATAATTAATTTACGTCATAATTGAATCGAAATTATTCGAATATTTGTAAAAACAAATGTCTTTTAACCAGTATGTTCGACCGTTGAGATTCGAGATTATAATTATTTCACAAAATAACGTACA